CCCCCCCCCCCCCCCCCCCCCCCCCCCAATTCAGAAACTGCATTTTTGTGTCCTCCTGTATTTTTTTGCTTTTGGTCCCAGCGTTCAGGTCAGCCCTGAGCTAGTCCTGCTGGTGTTAGCAGAGGAGAGGAGAGGGGTGGTAGGTGTGTTGGGAGCCCTGAGCAGGCTCTGCTCAGAGGAGTGATCCACACCAGGACCTGGAGGGCTGATGAGATGGGACCCTTTTTCCCTTCTTTCATCTTTACCCTTGGGCACCTGTGCACGTCACAGCGTGTCAGCTGAGAGTGGATGACCCTGTTCTCTCCCTGCCCTTCAGACTCCCGTCTCCTGAAGGTTTCTATTCAAGCATGTGGCTGATGCACACAGGACACTTCTCACCGCAAAGGAAAGTAAAGCCTTTTGTTGCTGAGAAAGCAGAGAGCACGGTGACTTGAGCATGAGCTCCTTGGGGGACATGATGCTCCCCAAGCCTGGCCCGTGCTTTCTGCTGGAGACAAGGGTACCTGAAGGCAGATGTGGGATAATCCACGCCGCCTTCTTCCTCCATGTCCTCACCTCGTCCCCTTAGGGCTTTGGGTTTTTAATTATCAGTTTTGCAAGTCTGAATTAGCCTGATTATAATTTTTCTTCTTGATGTGAGGGACTTAGAAAATGCTCCCTGGGGTGGGGAAAAACATACTTGAAGTTGAAGAATGCCTGCTGCAACAGGAACGCTGAGGTGGGGGTTTATATACGCCGTGTGGGAAGGAGGGGGGAAGCTTTTCTGGCTGTGACTACAGAATAGCATTAACCATCCTAATCCTACAGAGGAGATCAGCCTAAACCTTTCGGGAGGGAGCTGCAGGCCTTCCCTCAAGCCTTGTGATAGAGCCAGGACATGTTCTGGGTGGTCCTGAAACAGAGTCCATGACGTTACAAGACTCGTTTCATACGGTGCTGAAGCAGAGCCTGCTCTGGGCACAGCTGCAGCTGGTGCAGAGCTGTGCATCCACTCAGCTGGGGACACGGGGACCGGTTAGTGATGGGGAGGGCAGCAAAGTCAGAAACCGGACCATGGCAAAACATCAGGGTTGCTTTTTAAGCTCTTTGGAGGGGTGCATTGGTTTCGCATCATCATGAGACAGGGTTGAGACCCCCTCTGAAAGTCATGGTGTACCTCGTTTCAGGATGCTTGCAAAGAGGTTTGTTTCTAAAGAAATCCCGCGGCTGGTTGTGCGGTGCCTGCCCGGGTGCTGAGCAGTGTCCTTTGGCTACATCTTGGGGATCTGGCGTGGGAAGCCAGCAATTTCTTGGTCCCCCCAATGCCGGAGCCGGGGGGGGGGCAGCAGGGCTGCGTGCCTCCCTGGGCTGTGGGCTGCCGATGTTTGCAGGGGAGGTGCAATTGTGTTATTAACATCTTACGGCCGGAGGGAGGAATTTTTGCTCATTGGGAAAAAGTGAGGTGATCTTTTTAATGCTTTTTAAGGACATAACATCATCTGCAATTAATGTTTAACTCTAGCAACGACTGTGCTCCCTAGCCAAGCACAAGCGATGCTGTGGTTGTTTTGCTAGGGCTGCAGAAGAGAAGAGGCGTTTCTGGGATGTCTCGGCGTGTGTTTCCCTGTTTCCCCGTCACTCCCGGCCTCGGATTTGCCAGCTGCTGGTGCCTCTGCCGCTCTCCTTCCTGCTGGGCTCCCGCTGTACCCTGGAGAGTGCTGCCTTGTCTCTCCAGGCTCAAAGCTGCTTCTCTCTCATTTGCTAGTTGTTTTTCCTGCCGTGACTGTGCACATCTCGCTTTGCTCCCTCCCCCAGAAATTCCGCGCTGGCTCCCCGTTTTACTGTCAGAGGAAGATCAGTAGGTACGGCTTTGCGAAACATTGGCTCCTCCAACGTGGTCTGGCTGGATGGGTGAGCGAGGCTGGGCTGGGAGATGTGAGCACACCAAGGTGCTGGTACAGCCAGGTTTGTGCCACCGGGCAGGAGAATAAAGGAGACGTGTCCTTGGCCCGTTTTTCTCCCCGGTGCTGTTGAAGTGCAGTGTAAGCAACAAGCAGGACGTGGAGGGCCAAACGACTCTGGGTTTGCAGGTGAATGAGGGCCATCCAGAAACACGGTGACATGCCCAAGGCCAGGCCGTTCTGGACGAGCAGTCAGGGCAGGAGGGCTGGTAGCGTGGTGCCCGGCAGCCACGGAGGCTCTCTGCTGTGCCTCCAGCCTGTGCCTCCTCCGTAGCCTTCTCCTCCCTTTTTGGGCAGAGCACGAAGCAGAGAGATGTAGGTGTTTTGCTTGCTGGTTATGTGTCCGTGCTGGGGACGTACCTGCATGTTGCCAGTCCTTTGCTGCGGACAGACAGCTGTGCCCCACATCCCCCAGCAGCAGACCCCGATTGCTCATGAGCAACTCATTGTAGCAAGCTGCCGGCCGTTGCTTCTACCAGGGTTTGGGAGCCCAGGGTGGGGAGGGGACGACGCTCTGCTGTGACTTTATAGTCCCATCTTTCTGCTAGTTTCAGTGCTTCGCTGTCTGGTCCCTGTTTCCTTCCTTCCTTCCTGCCTTTCGACTTGGCAGCTCCGGAGCAGCGCGGTGCCAGCCTGGGCGCCGTTCTCCAGCGATCTGGCTAGCGCTCGGCTCGCACCGGGAGCAGCCTCTCCGCTCAGCTGCTGCCAGACCCGAGATGTAATGCACCAGCTTTGTCTTCACCACGTGCGTCCCTTGGGTTTCTCCGATGGACTGCACGGGTTGGAAAGTGCTGCATCCCCCAGCCCCATCGTGTTGGGGGAATGGAGATGGCACGGGGGCATGGAGAGGGAACCGCAGCAGCTCCCCAGTGCTCCCTGTGGGGCAGAACAGGACAAGGACATGCAGGCAGGTCCGGGGTGACACGGTGATGGGGATGCCAGCAGCTCTCATGCCTGCTCATGCAATACAGCCCTGCATGAGAAATTCCCTGGAGCTGCTCAAAAGTCGTGATATGGCCTCGCTTGCGTGTACCCATGTCCCTTTCCATTCCCAGATGTGCCCAGTTAACAAGGGAAGGTTCTCGGGCTTTGAAATATGCAGAACATGGGTTTGAAGGGACGGTGACTCTTCTCCACAAAAGCTGGGTGGAAGATCTGCCTGTTCAGGGCATCGCCCTCCACGCAGGAGATGGCAGTGCCCTAGGCTGGCTACGGCTGTGACACGGAGGCACGGGGGTGCAGGGTGTGTAGCATCTCCCCTGTCTTGTCAGAAGAGCATGTGTTGGAGCTACAGCCTGTGGGTCCGTCTCCTGCTAATGCCTACACCACCGACTGACCTGGGGCTGAAAATGGGAGGCAGGACTGTGGTGTGGGTTCTGCTCTCATGGTAGTAATTCTGTCCTGTCTTTCCTCTTTCCCTGTCTCAGGTTGGCTCAGTCCTTGTTTGCACTGTTCGCCTCGTCACTGGCAATCTCCTTGGTCTTTGCCATTATTCCGCTGTGCCACAATGTGGTGGTCCTGGCTGTGGTCATGGCTGTGGCAGGACTGGCCATGGGTTGCATCGACACCATCTCCAACATGCAGCTGGTGAAGATCTACCAGAAGGACTCGGCCATCTTCCTGCAGGTGACCACGGAGCCCGCGTCTCCCCTCTGGCCGTGTTTCTGAGGAAGAGGAGCGAGGGGCTCGGCCAGCCTCCTTGCAGAGAAGAGCAGTAACCCCCCCCCGCTCTACTTGTGTGTCTCATCTCTTGCAGGCCCTTCATTTCTTCGTGGGCTTTGGAGCGCTGCTAAGCCCACTGATAGCTGACCCCTTCCTCTCGGACACCAACTGCATCCTCTCAAACTCCACGGCCAACGCTTCCAGCAACCTCCCTCACATCCGCAAGTCCCTGGTCCCGCACCATCCGGGCAACCTGTCTCATTACGACCTGCCGATGAAAGGCATGGTGGTCACACGCGTCTCCTATGCCTTCTGGATCATGGCCCTCATCAACGTAAGTGCTGCAGGCAGAGTGGCCCAAGCTATTGCTGGGGACATCCCTGCTTCTCAGCTTTAAATGTGTTTGGGGGGTGTTCGTGCCCCTTAGGTGGTCCCAGTGATGGAAGGAGGCGTGAGGATGGTTGTGCTGGTCCACAGCAAAGGTTCATTTTTTGGCAAGTGCTGGGTTTGCAGCAGGTGCCTGGGGCAGGAGGGCAGGACTCTGCGAAGCTGAGCCAGCAGTCACCGCGCCGTCAGATGCGATAGGGTCGATGTACCGTTCTGTGGGGATTTTTCTGATCTCTCTGGAAGCAGGTTGTACCTCTGGGCAGGAGTTATAGCAGCTAACTGCACTCAGAGCCACAAGGTTTTCCTCCATGGTCAGCCTGGTTAGGAGCTCGGTGGTGTGGGGATGGCTCAGCGGGAGAGTGATTTGCAGTGATATTCATAGGAAAGTGCCTGTGGATGGACTGAGTTACTGGGGCCGAAAGCTTGATCAGGGGTGTCTCTGCCTATTTGTTGTGTTTCCCTGGTGATTCGCAGCAGATATAAAAGCCCTGTGGCCCTTCCTTTGTGAGAGACATCAGATTTAGTGCCCGTCCTCTTTCTCTGCCCTGCTGAGTCCCAACCCTGATCTCTAGCAAGCTGCTCTTGCCTGCAGTCTGTGGGCTCTCTTTGAAACCTAGCCCTGTTCCTTACCCCCCAGTTAATACCCAAATCCCAGCATGGTTAAATACAGCTGGTCCCCTTGCACAGCCTCACTGGTCTGTGGCCGTGCCCATGGCCGGTCCCCCCGCAGCAGAGCTTGCTAACCCACTGCTGTCCCTTCCCTGGTGGCAGGAGCCCTGCGAGCGTGTGTGTAATTGTCCACGGAGATCTGGAGCGATAAGAGCGGAGTGTGTTGTTGCAGCGAGCAAGTGTCGGCCATGCTGAGGGGTGCTGTTCATGCCAGGATTGATGCTGAGGGCAGCTCTGCTCCACACCTGTAGAGTGCCCGGTTATGCTTCGTGCACGGGCACTCCTGCTGGCAGGGGTCCTGGGGTCCCCCCGTGAGCAGAGCCCAGCCTGTGTAGCCCTTGCCCTAAGATGCTCTAATATCTGTCTATAAAGAGCATGCCAGGGCAGGGACTGCCAAGCTGGTGCCCATTTCGCTCACCTGGAGACCTCCTGTGGTAGAAGTGAAGGGTGATCCTGCCAGAAGGACCTCTCCCTGCCCGTCTGCCCCGCAGCCCCAGGACCTGCTGCCCCTTCCCAGTCCAAGTTTAGCCATTGCCCTTCTGCCAAAACATAAGGATGCTCCTTCTCCCTGTCCCAGACCAACGAGCAGCCCTTGATCTTCCACCACTCTGTCTGCGCTAGGCAAAGGGAACAGGTTTCTTTGTGCTCCTGGTCTTCCCATGTGCTGAATAACTAAAACAGACCCCAGCGCACCTAACCCAGGGGCTTTCATTAGACCGAGGCCCGCACAGCTCGCTGATGCGAGGCGAAGAACAGGCAACTGAAATAGCTGGGCAGGTGCTGTAATGAGTTTCTTTGCAGAAGTACCAAGACGAATGCTCTCTGCCTAGGAGGAGAAGCCAGCTTTAATTACCTCCGACTCTGCGTATGCCATGGGAAATGTGCTTTTAATTACACCGGAGCGTTATCTATTTTGTCAGTCAATCCCGAGCAAACTAATTTAGTTTTGAAGGCAGCATTTAACATCTGCTTTGAATACGACGATGCGTCTGATATCTGGAGCACTGACGGGAGGGTGGCTGCAGACCCCTCTCTGTTCCTAGCTGTGTCCCATGGACTTTTTGGGAGCAGGATGGGACACGAGGCTGAGTCCTGCTGTGCCCAGCAGCCGATGCGTGGCAGGTCGTGGGTTGAGCTTGTGCATCGCTGCACGCTCAAGTGCTGTTTGCACGTGTGGATGGTTTGCACGTGTGTGCACACGCTGCGTAGGATCACCAGGAATATGGCAGGGAGTGCCGGGGTGCTGGGAGACTGATGGTTTTTGGGATGAGGGTTAGGTAACAAAGATGAGAGGAGCGGGGAGTCAGACGTATGCTGCACATGCGGCTCTTGAGCGCGTCCCCGTGCCAAAGCCGAGCTGTTATTTCCTTTCCCAAAGCCTCGCTGAGGGAGCTGACTTGATTCCTCGTTTAAACTCAATAACCCAACCTACTGGCTGGAGATACTGAGAGCAGCTCAGCTCCGAAACTGCTGACCCTTGTTTAAGGTGTAAATGTCAGAGCAAGATGATGATAATTGGTATTTAAAACCCCAGGGAAGTGGATGAAATGAGTAAGCTATAGAAATAAAAACCAGGACCAGCAGCTTTGTTATAAAACGGTCAAAACTGCATTTCCATCCCAGTTTTCACAGGGCTCTGTGTATTCTGACAAGACACAAGCTGAAATGATTCATTTCAAATTCTTGCTTTGTCTAAAGTGGAAATGTCTCAATTTGACTTTGGCATAAATGCAATGTGTAAAGCTGACGGAATAGTTGTTTTGATGTTATTGAAGCAAAATGTTCTTGCTTTAGTAAAATTAAGTGGTTCAACATTATCAAACTGAAGTGCTTGGATGACTCCTGGCCAAAATTTTTCATTCTAACAGAAAATTTTGGCTTTTCATCCAGATTTGGAACAAAAACATATTTTAAAATTCAGTTTCCCACAGAACGGAAATTTCATCATCCAGACCGTTCCAAGGGGCTGGAAATCAGGAAAATGTTCCTCCGAGAGGGATGTGTTTGTCCGGAAGGTAGTTTCCCAGGGGAAGTGCGGGACACTCCATTGTGCTTAGGTTGCTTAAAAGTAGCCTGGATACAATAGCAGGGAACGGTCCCGTGCTCCTGGGGGGAGAGACCGAAATAGAAACTGGAGGGAAGGAGCCTGGATTATACCCACACTTAACTGTGTGATGCAGCAACTTGTTGAGTTTATAATAGTGGTTAAGAGCTGCCAGGGGGAGGGGAACATCCCCGGCAATTCGGCGAGTGGAGCTGGAGCGCCGGGTCCAGGCGGTCGGGTTCTTGCCGCCCACTTTGCCCTTCAGCCCATGCAGGCTCCCGGCGGGATGCTCAGATGCCCCTCAGCCCTTGGAAAAAAGAAAAGCCTTCTGCCAAAAAAGGCGAAGCAGAGTTGCCCTAGGAAGAAAGGCCACGAGCAAACGGTTATTGCACCAAAATCTCTGCCTGCTCAGGAGGGAGGACTGGCCAGAGATGGGGGCTGGAGGTGTCCAGGTTGGTGTGGTTGGGGATGGCGTGGGGCACCCTCGACTCTGCGGGGCAGGGCAGAGCTTTGAGGACCAGCATCCTTATTTTAGGGGCTGTGGCTGCAGCTCATCTCTGGTTCTCGCTGTTCGGGCTCCCTGCAGGGTGTGAAGGCTTTGATGGCTCTTTGCCTCGTGCCAAGCGGCCCAGGCAGCTGAGGTGTCAGCCCCAAGAAAACTGAAGCTGCTTTAGGAGCTGAGTAGCAAGATCCTGTCCTAAGCATGGTGGCCCTGCCCCTGTGTGTCTTGGCGTGTGTCTTGGCACGTGTCCGGGCTCCAGGGGCCAGCGAGGCTCATCATCATCACCCAGCCTCTCCACTTGGGGCACATGGGAGCTGCAGATGGGGAGAGGGGCTCGGCACCCACCCGGCAGCTCGTGGCAGTGGCCATGCTCATGTGGGCAGTGGAAGGGATGGTCCTTGAGCTGTCCTTGCCCTGTGGTTGGGGTAGGCTGCTCCTCTGGGATGGATTTATCCTTTTGCTTGGTGAAACGTGCCTGGCAGGGTTCTGGCGTTCGGCTGTTTGCTCCTCTCCACCTGCCTGCGTGATAACCGAACCGCTTTCGTGGATGCTCTGTGCCCTGTACGCATCCCAGATTTACGGCCGGCCACTCCGGTGGGCCAGGTGGCCGCAGGTGACTGTCCCCCAGGCGATTTGCCAGCTGGTGCTGCAGGACACAGGGAACGGAGCCCTGGGAACTTGCTTTCTCTTGAGCTTGGTCCTTTGCTTTTCCCTACTTCCCCAAGCTTGCTTTGGCGTGGTGGCAGCCCATGGGTGAGGATTCTGCTTGACTGTGGGTGAGTCTCCAGCTTTTGGGTATTTTCTACCAGAAACAGCCAGCGCTGGTGAGCAGCTCACGGCTGATGGGGTCAGAGTACTCGTGCACCCAGCGCTGCCAGCTTCAAGATGCTACACTCTGGATAAAGCAAAAGGGACCTGCTTGCTTTAGAGATGAGGATCTGGGGAGCAGGGATATGCCTACGGTTTGGGAATTGGAGGACTCCGGAGCTGGGGCCCTTTTCTGCATAGGCACTGAGTGCTCCTTAAGGCTGGAAGTGCCCAGAGACGTTATCTGTATGGCCAGTCCTTCTGTGTGGGTATTTTTTTGCAAAATCTGCAGTTTAGAAGAATAAAATCTGGTCCTGACCTCCGGAAGGATTAGAACTATCAAGCAAATGCGTTTTTCTTCCATGGGACCGAACTAACTGTTCCTATTCCCATTGTTCCCAGAACAATGAGGTCCTCCTAAATGAATTCAGGCAAGAGAAGCGGAGCGGGGGGGTGGTGGAATTCTCCATACATTTAAATCATGCCACGAGCCAACAAAAGGCAGGAAATTTGGAGCTAGAGCTCACACTTGCTCACAGACATGTAGAAAACAAGCGCTCGGCGGCTGGAGAGTGAGCTGTCACTTAGGATTTCCTGGCTTTCTCCCCGAGTTTGTTGCAGAATAAACACCACTTGGTTGCGGCGGGAGGAGAAGGGAGGGCTGGCAAGGGGCAGACCCAGCTTCATTTGCTTCCCTCTGTTTTCTCTCCAAAAAAAAAAAATTAAGTGCAAGTCCCTCCGGGCTTGGAGGCACCAGCGAGTCGCGGGCGCGCACAGGGAGTAGGCTGGTCCCCGGGCACATGGCAGCGAAGGGAGCGCGGTGCCGGGGGGGCTGATGCTGCGGCTGCCGTGTGATGGATCCAGTGGGCAGGTACAAGCCGATGGTCCCTGTGTGCATTGGCACCAGGCAGAAAGCCCTGACTGCAGGGAACGGTGCCGGTGGGACTCTTGTGTGCTGGGAGCCTGCGCAGCAGCATCCCTCGACGTGCGGGGGTCTCTAAGGTGGTGAGAGCCGAGAGGGCCGTGGCTGTGGAGGCTCTTTGCTTTTCAGTCCCAGGTCCCTCAGCACAGGTTGTACCAAGGGGCTGTTTGAAGCCGCTCGGCTGTAGCGGTGCTGTCGTTGTTGGCCTGGGAACCACGAGCTTGTCTCTTACGAGATGCTGAGCAACCTCTGCTAATGGCTGGAGCTGGGCAAAGCAGGTCTTGGAGCAGCTTGCTCTTCCCTCAGAAAGAATTTCAGCTGCAGAAGGTCTCCCATTAAAACTGTTCTGCTTTCCACAGGCAAAAGCTGCTTTATTATTTTATTCTTTGGGTAGAAATGGCCAAATACTTGGAAACCAGAACATTTTGCTTTTGAAGTGTCTTGGTTTCAGCTGGGGTTAAACCATGACATACGGTGCCTCAGGAGGTTTGTATTTAGGTGCCTTCTGTTCCAGTGTCCCTTGTCCCCCATCCCAGCTGAATGGTCCCCAGCCCACCCGGCATCCCCCAGGGACTGGCAGGAGATGCCCCAGCCATGCTCTGGAGCAGGAGTCTTTGCTCTCACTTGCCTTGTTTTTCCCCCATCTCCCTACGAGCTCTCCTAAGAAGCCTCCATCCCTTCTGCAGTGGCTCATTACACCATTACCAGCCTCTGTCCTTGCTCTCGGAGGTTAACTCGGGCACATCTATTGCAGATGCTGAGTGCAGCTTCCTAAAAGGCAGTTGTGACTGGGGAATTGGACTGTATTTTGCACAAGGCTTGTCGTGCTCACCTGCCCCTCTCCGTTCCTCCCCAGCTGCCGGTCCCCATCGCGGTGTTTTTCTTGCTCTACAAGGAGCGGATGGTGCCGTGCTTCAACAGCAGCAGCCACCCGCTGCTGTCGGCCGACGAGCTGGCCATGGAAACGCAGCCCGCGGAGAAGGACGATCTCCCCACCGCCGTGCAGAGACCCCACGCAGCCCGAGGTGAGCTGGAGGCACCTTTCTTACGGGTTTGGAGGAACAGGGGGTGAGCAGGGGGAGAAAAAAGCCCTATTTCTGAGCGTCTCCGTTGAGTTTAACGAGTGAGATCCGTCGCTATTGTCTAAGGAGGAAACTTTCCAAAACATGCACGAGAACGTAATCCAGAAGCACCCAAACAGACAATTTGGTGCCCAGTTGCCCTCGAATTAGATGGGACCATAACCCCTGAACAGAGATTAGTAACCCGCTGTTGGGACTCCAGGCTAATTTTCTCCAAGCTGTCCTAAAATTAAACCTGGGCTCCCAAGTTATTTAAGCACACCTGAAAGTCGTACCCCTTCGTTTCCTTCTGGTTTTTGGTCAGGTTTTGAGCTGGCTCTGCTGACTGTTTAAAAGTGGTCACCACGCTGCAGAATGCTGATTCTTATAAATCTGACAGGAATAAGGACAGCGCCCTTGTTTGAGAGGAAAAGTTAAGCTCCAGCAATAGTTTGTTCTTGAACTTGTGACTACACCCTGTTTTGGGGACAATAGTAACATTGTTCTTCGCTACCCGAGAGAAACGTATCAAAGTGAATTCTTCAGCTAAGTAGTGAATCTTGGAAGTAATCATATTGTAGGGTTATCAGAGGAGCGTTTAGTGTCATTACAGAAGAGATGGCTTTACCTGAACAATAAAAGGAAATTTTAGGGAATACTTGAAGGTGGAGGCAGTTAGGGATGTGGTGAGGCGCTGCAGGGAAGGATCGTGGGTGTCCCTAACGGAGCGGGTTCTCTGGTGTCTGAGAAGGTTGTGCTCATCTGATAGCATTTCCCTTAGCTGAGACACTGGTGGTTTCTTTCCTCAACCCAGCTGCCCGTTTTCATACAACCCATTGGAGTTTCATGTTCTTCAGATCTCCATCTTCCTCTTAAATGCAGTTGAGATTAACCCTTAGAGAAGCAGGAAGGCTGTATGCCGACTGCGGCGATCTGTGACAGACACATCTGTGCTGGCAAAATCCCTCCTTCCCATAGAAGCAGTGATAATTTCATCTTTGCCGTGCAGGAGCAACTGTCTCGCCTGCACAGGACTCCAGGTGCTGGTACTCTAATATACGAGATGAGCATGAGGACGGGAGAGTTGGGAATTCCTGGGGTCCTGACCCCCAGCATCGGCAGGCTGTCGCTCCCAGTGGTCTGGTCAGAGGAGGTGACGCTCGCTGTGTGTTTATCACTCTCTTTCCCAAAGTCGGCTTGTCTGAAGTATCATTTATCTGAGGAATGTGAGCTATCCTGGGCAGGACTCTCCTGTGTGGTGGTACCGAGGCCGAGGGGCTCTGAGCACGAGTGCTATGGTCGGATGGGCTTGTGTATTGACTGTAAGAGTGGGGCCAGCAATGTGGAGCTCCTGAATGGGAAGAGGAGCACAAGCAGCTACAGTCAGAGAAGTAGCAAGTATCCTGGAGAGCTAGGATCCCAGTCTGTGGACAGCAGCCCACAAGCGTTATCAGTCTTCCTTCTGAAAGTTTAGAGGTAGGTAAAGAAAGAGGTTGTGCCAGCAGAGGTTAGCAGTGCTCCACGTTGTTCACGGTCCTCTATGAATCTCTGTCGTGCAGCTGAGCGCAAAACAAATCCCCATTGTGGGCTGGCAACCACCCAGCCCCAGGGGGACGTTCCAGCTAAGTTTGCTTTGCATTGTTTTTTACCAGGTCATGATGACTTATTTAGCTGCTGCCAAAGCAAAAACTTCAGAGGGGCTTCTTACACCTACTTCGCAGTCCACATCACTGGGGCTCTTGTTCTCTTCATGACTGATGGGATTGTGGTGAGTTCAGCTGATAGAGGGATCTTGTCTGAGCAAAGCTATGTGGCTTTCTTCCTTCCAAATCACTTGTAACAGCCCAAACCCAGCACATGTCCTCTGCGTGCACTGGGCTGGACCTGAGGGTCTGCCGGAGCAGCAGTCTGGTTCCCAAGGTAGCTCACTCAAAGCTAATCATAGTCAGGCTGATACGTGCCCTGCTTCTTGGGAGGGGTTTGTGGCTTCTCCTAGGCTCTGTGGTGTTGCAGCTAGATTGCTACCGCTACTAACCTGGCCGGTTTAGAGCTGGAGGTGTGATGTTGTCTACTGGTAGGCAGCGGAGGTCTCTTCTCACTTCAGGCAAGAGCAGCTTCATTTTATTTCATAAGAAACGGTGGCTCTTTGCTTGCTGGGTCTCCCGAGCCCTCAAAACCCAAGATGAGAGCACGTGGGGATGGTGCAGTCTCTCTGGAGTGGCCCGGCAGCACGTCCCCAGCCGGCACCGTCACACGGGGTTTGCCATGTGTAGCATTTCTGTCTGGGCGAGGAAGGCTCGCTTTTGGCTGGCAAGTTGCTAATCTTTTTCTTTCAACAGTTTTGTCTCAGTCCCCTCATGGTAAAATACTGCTGGGTCTTACTAGGGCGTTAAATAGGGTCCTGGAAGATGAGCAGGGTTACACAAAGCAGCTGTCAGATACGGGAACTTTCCAGGGCCTCCATCTTCAAGGATGATCAACTCTGGGTTCTTAATGTGATACGTTTTGAGAATATGCAGTTCCAAAAGGACAAGACAGCCCCTAGGGAAGAGAGCATCTCTACAGCTAAGAGCTTAGCATGCGTTTTTCCTAGTAATGCTGTGAAGTCTTGCCCTTTTAGGAGAGGTTAACTCCTGTGTTCTACTTCTGGCGGAAGCCTGTGTCCAGCTGCAAACCCTTGGGAACAAGGTTCATTGAGATTTGATAGCAAACCCCTAGGTGGGCTCTCCAGCACTATCACAATATTGTGAATAATTGAGGGACAGGTTGAAGTTGAAGCTGCAAAGCCTGTAAGTGGTCATCGATGTGACGTGCTGTTTTGTTTTCCCTGCAGGGAGAGTACTCGGGCTTCATTTACAGCTACGCGGTGGAAGAGCCTCTCTCCGTAGTACATAAAGTGGCCGGTTACCTGCCCAGCCTCTTCTGGGGATTCATCACACTGGGCAGGCTCATCTCCATCCCTGTGTCCTACCGAATGAAGCCGGCAACTATGGTCTTCATCAACGTGGTAAGGCTGGTTTTACTGTGTTTTTCTCCCGCTTGCCTCCAAGATGCTGTCTAGTTTTGGTTTTGATGTGCGGAGCTGCAGCTACTCTCATGCCATACCTGGAGTAGATTTGCACCAGGCAGTGCCTGACAAGCACGCCGTCCGGGGTGAGCTGCGTTCGCCTCTGTATTGGCTTTGTGTGGCACGGTTTTGGTAGCGGGGGGGTTACAGGGGTGGCTTCTGTAAGAAGCTGCTGGAAGCTTCTCCTGTGTTCGAGAGAGAGCCCATCCCAGCCGGCTCTAAGATGGACCCACTGCCAGCCAAGTCCGAGCCCATCAGCGATAGTGGTAGCGCCTCTGTGATAACATTTTTAAGAAGGGAAATTGGGACAGACGGAAAATGGCAGCTGGAGAGAGGAGGGAGAACATGTAAGAGAAACAACCCTGTGGACACCAAGGTCAGTGAAGAAGGAGGGGAAGGAGATACTCGAGCAGAGATTCCCCTGCAGCCCGTGGGGAAGACCCTGGTGAGGCAGGCTGTCCCCCTGCAGTCCATGGAGGTCCACGGTGGCGCAAATATCCACCTGCAGCCCGTGGAGGACCCCACGCCGGAGCATGTGGGTGCCTGAAGGAGGCTGTGACCCCGTGGGAACCCCGCGCTGGAGCAGGCTCCTGGCAGGACCTGCGGAGAGAGGAGCCCATGGAGCAGGTTTTCTGGCAGGACTTGTGGCCCCGTGGGGGACCCACGCTGGAGCAGTGTGCTCCTGAAGGACTGCACACCATGGAAAGGACCCACGCTGGAGCAGTTCGTGAAGAACTGCAGCCTGTGGGAAGGACCCACCTTGGAGAAGTTCGTGGAGGACTGTCTCCCGTGGGAGGGACCCCACGCTGGAGCAGGGGAAGAGTGTGATGAGTCCTCCCCCCGAGGAGGATGAAGTGGCAGAAAATAACGTGTGATGAACTGACCGTAAACCCCATTCCCTGTCCCCCTGTGCCGCTGGGGGGGGGTTGGTAGAGAATCCGGGAGTGAAGTTGTGCCCAGGAAGAAGGGAGGGGTGGAGGGAAGGTGTTCTGAGATTTGGGTTTATTTTTCATTACCCTACTCTGGTTGATTTGTAATAAATTGAGTTAATTTTCCCCAAGCTGAGTCTGTTTTGCCCGTAACAGTAATTGGTGAGTGATCTCTCCTGTCCTTATCTTGACCCACAAGCCCTTTGTTATATTTTCTCTCCCCCATCCAGCTGAGGAGGGGGAGTGATAGAACAGCTTTGGTGGGCACCTGGAGTCCAGCCAGGGTCAACCCACCACAGCCTCCTCCTGCATCGCTGCCTCTGCAGGTTTGCAGCTGACTCCGATGCACCGGGTAGCTCAGACTTACTGCTGGATTGCACTGCTTTTCTGAGCTTGCTCCTCAGTTAATCTAACGTTAGATTTGTGAAAGCGTCTAGTAAAGCGTCTGCCAACTTTATTTACTTTGCACGCTGTCTTCTCTGGCATTTACAGGGAATTTAATGCCCGTGTTAGCCATGGGAAAGGGAAGGCAGATAGTTCAGTAAATTCTCTGCTTAGACCACAGCAGCTGTCAAAGAAACCAATGTGATGTGAGGTTGCTTAAATCAATAAAACACATTCACTTGAAGAGGAAGGAGTCCTTTAAGGATATATAAGAAAGATGCATGTAAGGATGTGACAGACAACAGGGAGTGAGATGTTCCCATTTACACTTCTTACAAAGAAAGAAGAAACGAAACAAGTGAGAAGGGAGTTAATTTACAATTTATTTAAACCAGAAGTTATTTTGATAGCAAGCTTCACAGTTAATATTGTGAGGTCAAGAATTTATGATAGGGTGGTGAGAAAACGGGAGTGACAGTTCACATTGGGATGTTTTGAAGATTTAGGCCAATGCCTTTTGCAGACAGGAGGCAGGTGAGGCAGCTGGCTCAGCACCTTGCCACTGGTCACTTTAAAAACTAAGCTCAGATACCGATAGCTACACCCAAATGAAAAGCAATTATTTTAAAAATGAGTGTAATCTCCTACTTCAGCACATAGTCACTACTTACATGGGAGCAGGGAAAGCTCAGCATCAGCAGATCTATCACAGGTCCCATGCATCTCCTTGATGCATACTACTGGCTTAATCACTTGTCTGAACTGCACTATTGCTTTATTAACAAACCTGAGGACAGGATGACTTTAGCTGCTGGTAATATTTGGAAAGGAGAAGGAATAGCCTCCAGCCTTAAATGGAAGCCTTCTCACTTCCCCTTAAAGGCAATGGTATGGTAGTATCATCCAAGTACAAAAATTCATTTGACTAACACTGAATCCTTTGTGTAATGCTTGCTCATTGGTACTGCTATATGTAGTAAGCTCTTGGCAGTCATTTCAGCATTATAGCAAACTGCAGTTTGAATTTCATTTCTTTAGAATCCAAATTGTTCTTATGTACAATGCACACACCCATAATCAGGCCCTAAACAATTAAGAAAAAATAACTTGAGTTGGTATTGCAGAGCTCCCTCTGCTGACTGTGTCGTGGCTAATTTAATGCATCTTGACTGGTTTTGCTATTACTTGTACACTACAGCAAGCTAGAGGTGAGGGCAAGCTTGTTTAAATTTAGTTGGCTCTTTGGCTTTACTCCTGTGACTGGTTTCTAGCAGTTATTCAGAGTGAGTTAATTCTTTAATGTGCTGAATAAGACTTACTAGTGATTAAGACATGTAAATATTATATAAGTAGCAGTACTGTTGTATTTAAAGCTGCAGAGAAAAAGTATTTTTTTCAGATATGATCTTAAGTCTCTACCTAATGAAGTTGAGACAGATGAATTGTATATAGTCACTTTAAGTCCTGTTACAAAAAGTACCAAATTCTTTACTGCAAAGGTAGATGGATTTTATTTGGCTAATTAGTTCAGTTTTTCAGAGATTATGACAATTTTTCAGTATAGTTTATTTTCTTTTCCAAACTATTTTCTACAAAAAAAAGATTAAAAAATATCTAGAGCCTGTTACAACTCAGCGTTTGCCTTCCTCCTGACTCTGTGTTTGGTGTTCACAGGTCGGAGTCCTGATAACCTTCCTCCTGCTCCTGATTTTCTCCTACAGCGTTGTCTTCTTGTTTGTGGGGACAGCATCTCTGGGCCTGTTTCTCAGCAGCACTTTCCCCAGCATGCTTGCCTATACTGAGGACATCCTGCAGTACAAAGGTGAGCAGGGATTCGGGCAGCCCTGGCAGACTTTGAAAGCAGGTGGGTGTTCAAGACGAGCTCAGATACCATCATGCCTAGCAACTCCTTCCCCCTTCAGGAGGCCTGGAAGAAAGATCTGCTTTTGAATACAATGTTTATTCAAGCTTGTAGTCAGAAAACCAGACTGCACAAATCCTGGCTTCATTATATTAAAAACTTCTACAGGCAGGGATCCAGACTGGTTCTTAGTTTCCTGCAGCTTTAGAGCTCTCAGGGTCTGACAAGAATGTCTGCTTTAGAGGCTTACAGGGAGGTAGTTTTGAAAACATCATCCAGATTATCAGTGAACTGAAAATTATAGAGTTTGGCCACCTCTTACGGGAGGTCTCTGCCAATGTCTGTCTCTGGGGCAGCGATACAGAAGAATGAAAGTATTTCCATCAAGAAGCAACAGCACCTCTGCCAACAGAGACAAGTGACAGAACAGGAGATGGTTTTCTGGCTTAAACTTCTACCTTTCTGCACTACTGCAGGTTAGAAGAGGCATTTTCAACCCTGAATGGGAACATACATGAAATATTATAAATCTTGTAGGGAGAGATCCATGAAAGAGCAGTTTAAAGAAGCTACAGGCTGATCCTGCTGGCCGTTTCACCTGCTCCCTGCCAACATCACTTGCACTATTTCTCTGCAGGCTGTGCCACAACCGTGTTAGTGACCGGAGCTGGAATTGGAGAGATGGTACTACAGTTACTGGTGGGATCGGTAAGTGTAGACAAGGCATGCCAAAAAGTGACTGGAACTTTTAAGTAGAAACCTTAGTCCTGGTTTTGGACAGCTGCTGGGAAGAAGCACTGCATTACCCTTGATAAATAGTGAAGTTCTTACTGAATGCTAATTAGGTATTTGAGTACTGTGATGACATGTCTGCTCCCTTTTTTTTTTTTTTTCCCCCCTCCAATTGCAGATTATACATGATCAGGGCAGCTACAGTTTCCTGGTCTGTGGGATGATCTTTGGAGGCTTGGCCTTTACCTTCTACGCTTTCCTCTTGTTTTTCCACAGGATGTACCCCAAGCCCTCATCAGGTAAGACAGCACCAGCACTCAGCCCTGCTTTGTAATGAGAGGAAGAATAGCATATGCATCAATACATAACCAGGGTGCAGCACTTCAGCAAAATGCGAGGAAATGTTTATTTTCCTGCTGCTTCCTGTCCCCTCTTCCTGCTTTGACTTGCCCACAAAGCCTTGGCAGCCACAGCTCAGGGTTTGCTTTCTTTTCTGTTGCAGAAGCAAGGGAAAAAGTAGGAATGCTCTGTGGATCACAGAGGAACTATAAAGCACATAGGATGCTGGCTGTGAAAGCACTACTGTGCTACTGCAGAGCTAGCAGGAATAAGTCCTCCTAGTACAGACTGCACAAGCTTCCCTATGCTGTTCCCTGGCTAAATCCAGGGAACAAGCGGGTCTGCCATCCACAGGCAGCTGTCAGGCTCTTGAGAAAAGCCTCACTTTTGAAGGATTTCTCTTACATATCACCTCAGTCTGCGTACGCTATTTGTTTTTATAAGCCTCTTTTACAAAAGCAGCACTGCATGACAGGCAAAAAACTTGTCCAGGTTACTGGAAACAGAGGTCTTTCTTCCATGACCAGCAAAGTAAACAAGCTAGTGTGGTGGGTGATAGAATAGCAACATTCATGTTTAGGAGAGCTTGTGCACATTCCTGTAAAGCTCAATAGAATCGGTACATTCAGATGAAGTACCTAATGTCAATTTTGCAGATATGGATGATGCCTCGCCTGACAAGCCAGCAGTAATGGATGACACTGGACAGTATCAGCGCTAAAGAAGTGGCCAAGGCCTAGACAAGCAATAAAACAACACACAGTTAAGCATTACTGTTAAGGATGATTTCACATTTAATGACTGAATCATGCAAGTTTTCTGCAATCAAAAGCACATTAGATTGGGTAAGTCAGAATCAAGAAAACATCCTAAAACACTGCATCAAGCTAAGCACAAGCTGCCCACGTCACATGTACCAAAAATAAGACTGTCAGCATCAGACTGACCCTATATTTGAAAGGCTATGGTATATGGCAGGGATGATGGGAAAAATTACTCCTGCAAACAAACTTTCTTACCAATTCAGGATGGAGGGTGGGAAAGAAGAGGTTCTCTCTGTTCCATACATAAGAGTGAATGTCTTCTGGCTTAATCATTGAACTTAACAGATTTTTCTTTTGGCCTGTAACATACAGAAGCCCCTACAATTTACAGCACAATACTGGATTTGAGTTCATTTTTGTGCAACACTGACTCAAGTATATGTCACCTCCGTGTATACTTCCAAAGGGGAAAAATTACACAGGAACCCACCAACTGCACAGTAGTAGCGGGACCTATCTGTATTTGCACAGCTGATTCTTGTACATTACACAGTATCAGACACGTTCACTAAGACAGTGTCTTATTCAGCATGCTAGGGCCTCTTGATTATTAAGATCATTAGCTTTTTTTTTTTTTTTTTTTTTTTTTTGGTCAAGAATGATGGTTTGTTTTGCTTTAAGTCACTAGTTTAGCTGCTACAGTTGCAGTGTCTTTTAGGGTGGTTTTATTTCTAGCTTCCAGTTGAAGCTTAAACAGAGGTATTTGGGAGCTAGCCTCCAGCTGCTTAATCTGTGCAATACTTATTATAATAACAGGTGCCTTCTGTAAGGTACTCTCATAACCCACGCATGACCTATTACAAGCTACGAAGAAAGGACTGGCTTTAGAAGAGTGTAAAGCTACGTACATCTATTTCTTCAGTGAGTGATTGGACATGTACTTTTTGCTTTAACTGCTGTATGTGGATGTACATATGTACGTGTGTATATAAAGCAGTGTTTAATTAAAGGTGATCGATTGCTAGATTCTCAGCATGACTGGACTCAGGTAACTTAAGCTGCTTCTGGCCAAGACTATCAGCTACTACCTTCACCAATTCTAGCTTTCAAACTCAGACTGAATCCAACAGCTGTTTAACTTAAACCGTTTTTAGCATTTCTGTTTTTCCAAGCAGCAGATCTTACCTTCCATAAAACATCTTCGCAAGCTCCCATGGATGGTTCTGTAGAAGTCTCAAGAGAATAGACTTGTTGAATTGACTTTGTATACCTAAAGCTGAGCGCACATTCGGCCAATGCAGGAAGGAGGCAAATGCAGTTGAATTCTGGGCTTAACTCATCCATGGACTTCAGGAGCCCTCCTGTCTCACATCCAGCGCAGTATGTGCTGTAATTCTTCTCTAGCACCACAGGATGCCACTGTTACTCTCCTTGAGATACCGAGAATGAAAAAAGCATGTACCGCAAAACCCATTTGCAGCAAAAAAACCCCGATCTGTCATTAATAGAGCCCCTCCCACTATGACAGCATTCTCTCCATCCCTGTACAGAGGAAATGAGCATGAAATAATACAATGAGGGAGTTTATTTTGAAAGAAGTCTACTCAAGATTACACATATATCACACCAGGGACTGTCAGCTATTAAAAAAAAAAAGTATCATATGTTCTTGTAGAATGATAACATGTAGCTAAATGCTACTGCCAGAATAACATTTCTTTTGTTAGAAGTGTATTTGACAATTCAAATCTCCACTTCACTATCAGCACTATTTATAGAATGGAGCTACTCACCAAAGGAAACATTCACCAGAAGAGAATAGTACCTGATTTTGCAAAAAGACTGTGCAGCACTAGAAAGCTAGCAACAGCAACTCCATCTCTCTCTGCGTTCCAGCAAGATGGGAGAGAGTCTGTGCTGCTGCGGACAGGTTAGCTCAAAGTCTGATGAACTCCCTCATTATCACAGAGCAAGCTGCCCTGCAGCTGTAACTTTCAATTTCCTCTACTGAAAAAAAAAAACAGTCAAAAGATCAGAAACTTTGTTAAAAATATTTATTTAAAAAAATACAATTGTTTTGCATGTCTGGTTGCACATAACTATTAACATATGATTGACTTGAATAATTTGCTACAATGCTTTTTTAAAGCCAGCTTGCATTATACAAAGCAAATCCCTCTGTCAGTTCTTACATAAAATAGTTTTCTTTAACTATTCCCACCCCATTTTTAAAAAAGATTGCAATACATTGATTTATTTTTTTTTGCACAAAAATTGAAGCAATAGAAAAGTCACCTGATTTCTCAGGAAAGACCTTCATTATGTTTGAATAACAACTGCCAATATGCCACTCTAAAAGCAGCATTTGTTACTTTGAAGTGTCATTACAGTGCACTTCCTCCAAAGCAAGTTTTGCATCTTAGAACTTTGCCTCCAAATTATATTCAAACCTGAAATGTGTTCAAATAACTGCATATCTGCTATAATCAAGTTGATCGGACTTTTTTCCAATATTGTATCAACACGCTGAAGGTCTTCCTAATATGTTATCTTGGAAGGTTAAATAAAAGCAAATTTAGTAACACTGAACAATTACTGAAAACTTTGGCTATTTATGTACTTGCATTACATACCGGCATTTATTTTTTTAAAACACAATGGCATTAAGATACTCTTATTATAAGGTATTATTTTCAAAAAAAGTTAGACTGAGAAGCGATTCTCTCCCAGGCAAGTTTACCCAACTGTAACGAGAGCACCAAAGCGGTGTAAGATTACAGTTGTCTCTAAAAGACCGTGTCTAGAAAAAGTCTCCAGTGTAGGAAGTTAAGACACTCACTATAACATAACTTGCTTTGTCTCTTGACTTGGTACTATATATATATACATTAAAAAAATGCAATTCTGTTCTGGAAAGAGTAATTGAAAATGCTGTCTCTGCTGCTTTCAATGTAATTTTTACCACTGATGGTTCTACTACAATTAGAGGAAAGTAAAACAGAATCCATTCGAGTTAAAAGAGTAAGTTAACTGACATGAATATCTGCTCAGTCTGCCCCAAGCAGAGATGTCAGAGCTGCTGTAGTATAAAAAATACTGCAGACATCATCTTGCCAATTTGCAAAGAACCCAGCTTAACCTAAAATTTCAATTGAGGAGCAAACACTAAAGGCATCAGAAAGTCACTTTCCAAAACAGATGTGCACTTTAAAAATAAACAGAACAACTGTCACACATTACCACAGCTGATAAGGTTGCTTAAGTTCTCTAAAATTTAACTTAAACTTCCCTCCCCTGACTCTGTCTGGGCCATAGACAAAGACCAGATTCTCAGCCAGTGTAAGTTAGACCAGTTGTGGTGATGCCAACAGATTCTATTCTGATTTACAAGCTTCTGGCATGTGATTCACATCTGCCATCAGCTGGCTCAAAGATTCTCAGAATTCCCAAGACAAAGTCTCACGCTGGTTAACGATCCCTATTCAGAGTCATTTCAGTCCCAGATTAATTCCAGCTGTCCTAACACACATCAGAGGAGACAACCACTATCCTTACCATACATGTTGCTAGAATTTTCCCATTTATTCATCCCTACCATTAGGAATATACTTCTCGGCTATAAAAACAGAGGGGGGGGAAGATAAGCATTAAATGTGCTACTGTACTTATCACAAAACACTGTGACGTACATAAGGCCATCTGGTAACACTGCAACAGAATACAAACAAGATTTTAAAAGGGAGATTGAGAATACAATTTTTTTTTTTTTAAACTACAATGAATAATCTCAACCCTGTTCACAGAGAATTAACGTTAAAACTAGTACATCATATATATAAAACTCTGTGCAACTGAACAACAGCAGAACAAAAAGTCAACACAATTCTATAAAGCAGTTTCAAAGCCTGAAGATTTAAGACATGCTAGCCAAAAAAAACACAACACATCTCAAGGAGCCTAGAGCAAACCCAGGTATTGTAACCCCCCCAGCACACAGCACACACTAGGAACCATGCAGAGGCCATCCTCAAAGCCTTCCTGTGTTCAAAAAAAACAGAAGAAAAAAATAACCCCAAACAAACAGCAACAAAAAAACCAAAACAGCTTCCAGTTATTCATACAGCACTGCTGCATGTACTGCTCAAGGACTGAAATGGGCTCCGAACACAATGCCTTCCAACCTCTCCTCCCCTCTCCTTACCGTGCTGCTTACAGTTCATTCAGTGTCTCCATTAAAAGACCCCTGTTTTCCGAAGGTTCATAATTTTCCTGTTACGCCCCCTGCCAAAAACCCTACTTTGAGATGAAAACCCTTCTGCAACGCATGGTCTCAACAGAGAAGCAAGTGTTTTAAGTAAAAAAAAAAAGTCCAAACTTTTGTTCCATGAACATAAAACTATTCAAAGACACATTTAAGACACTTTTTTTAGAAGATGTGGCATACAACAATGTCAAAGATGCATTTAAAAATAACCTTTGGCAACTAATTAGTTCACACTGTGGTATAATTGATTTGAGTACTAAAAAAACAAAAACAAACCCAAACCAAAAAACCTCACCAGCATGTGCAAAACATTTAAAAGTGGCAACTGCACAGTGCAGTATTTGCTTTGAGTGTACAAGGTAAGCGTTATTTACGCAGATCTGGAAGCCAGACTACATAATGAACACACATCCTCTCAGGCAGTAAGCATGTGTACACACGTATGTTCGCATGAAGAAAGCTATTCCAGTCTCAGTTAAACGATGCATCTAAAAACAAGTTTTCAGTTCTCAAAGTATGCTTTTTATCAGATGTCTGGAACAGCTCCACAGTCAAAGTCTTCTACTACATTCTTTGGGAGGGGGTAAACAAAAATAAATTCTAGTCAGTTTTACTTTTTTTCTTTGTAGAATAATTTATACAAAGCAGACATCTTGCTATCCCGAAAGGGAAATACATTAGCATACACATTCAAAAAGAAACATTGGGCCCTGCCCAGCTTTCTTACCTTGCAGGTCACTTTTTTTTTTTTTTTTTTTTTTTTTGCAAAGCATGGTTACGGTCAGCAAAGCTGCATCCTCCAGAAAGAACCAACGTTCTGCAGTGGACATATTCCCCCTTATTTTTGTTTGTTCTTTGTACAAAGGCAAGAATAATATTCCTCAGTTCAAGATCCACTAGACGCCCAAAACCAAAGCTAAATCTTTCTGCTTTAGATGGCACCAAGACAGTCAGGAAATTTCAATACAAGGTCTGTTG